ACAATGGATCGTGTGGTGTGTCCTGGATGGAAGCTGGAGGCATGTAGGTAAGTGTAGCGGTCAGTAGATTTCCGGTATAGGGTGGTATTTATGTGACCATCGCTTATTAGCACAGTAGTGTCCATCAAAAAAGGGTGTCATGTTAGTTTGACAGGACCTATTTCCATAAACCCATGTTGATTTGCATGAATTACATTTTACCTTCCTTTAGTTCTTTATTAATCAAGTCCCATATCAGCTGCTCCATTATCATCCCTGGGATCAATGTCAGGTTGACAGGTCTATAATTTCCTGAGTCATTGTGTTTACCCTTTTAAAAAATTGACACAACATTAGCTTTCTTCCAATTTTCTGGAACTTCCCCAGTGCTCCAAAACTTATTGAAAATCAACATTTATGGTCCAGTGAGCTCCTTAGCCAGCTCTTTTAAAACTCTTGGATGTAAGCTATCTTAACCTGCTGATTTAAAAATGTCTAACTTTAGTAGCTCTGTTTAACATCCTCCTGAGAGACTGGCCATAGATTTCTCCTTATGTCACTTTGCTTCTCATATCAATTTTCTACAGTTCCTAACTTCTGATTTATATTGATTATTGGCAGATTCCTCTTTATTTTCTCGCTCTTAGCCAATTTCTGATCTATTGCAGAGCTTTGCCCCTCACTCCAGGATTCCTCTGTTCTTTTAAGTAGCCTCTTGTGAGGGCATTTGTGAATGGCCCTTTGAAAGGTGAAATAAATTATGTCAACTGGTTCTCCTTTATCCACTATTTTATTGACACACCACATGGGAATACAAGTACCTCTTAGTAGTTCATATACCAGATGTTTCTTTCCAGGCTCTTTCCTCAAATATGATCTATCCTGATACATATGCCATCTGCAAAGCAACTGGTGGGAATTCCCCCCAATGTCACTGATGGTGAAGCCTTGTTCTTCTTTTTCACTATATTGCATTTTGTCCTTTATTGAGCCATCATCTAAATTGTTTTGTAAACTAAACTATTTTTATTGGTTTATGTGTATTATAGTCAGTGACTTTAATAAGACACATCAGTGATGATACAGGGTTCAGTGTTGCGTGCTTAATGGCCTGGAAATGTATACATTTTTAATAGATCCTCGGTAGCGGGAATTCTTTGCTGTTATATGCAAAAAACACCAGATGGCGCTTGTTTCTGGAGTATTTTTATGAGGGTGCCACTGCTTGCCTTAGAATTTGATGTAATTAGAATAACTTCCCCTCAGTTTGTTGCTCTGTACATTAACACATTCAAATTGCAACAGAGGAACAGATCTCTTCCTCTCTCTCATTTAACTTATCTTTTAACTGAAAATTCTCCTCATTCGCTGTGCTACAGAGGTAGTTCTGTATATTCCCAGCAAATGAACTGTGTGCAAATGAAATTTACATATTAATAGATTTTAAGGAAAACCCACCCATCCTCTGCAGTACTTTGGCAGCCTTTTAGCATAATGACTTTATGAACCACTGTTCAGGAACCTCTGTTCTGTAACATTTAAACATTCTCTATCAATTTGTATGTATACTGAAGTAATTAGTTCCAAATCAAGGGCCAAATTCTACTCTTATTAAACTTGTGCAAATCCAAAGTAATTCCATTGACTCACTCCTGTCTTCAGCTGCCCAATGTTCTGGTGAATTCTGTGTTGTTGTAGAAGATACTTGTTAATTTTGCCCTTTATGGGTTGATGGCCCAAGTTGGTTAGCATTTTGGATTAAAGTAATGGGAAATCTTTTTTGCCTCATGAGTACCTTCCAAGTTAACTTGTCCTGACTATAAATTGTTCATGCCATTAGTGAGATTTCATAATTAACACTGCAGAGCTAGACAGCTTTCTACAAGCCTTTAGGAAGATAGTCTGTCCCCTCATGTCCTTAATGTATTGTTTCCCCACTTTGGGGGCGATTAGTGAGACTATTCAGGGATATTCTACAGCCCCTCTGCCCAAAAATTTCTTCAGAGCTCCATTTAGCATTAAGCCTCCTAATACACAGATGGTTCCCATCTGCAGGCTGAATCTAATGTTGCAGGGTTTGATAAATCCTCTTTTGGAATCTATGTAGGCAGTTTCTCAAGTTTTTAACCCTTAAGACTGTTTTGAACAGCAATTGTCTGTGCTAGCCAGGTTTCTGAGATGGCAGCCCTTGCTTTACAGAACCCATTTTATTTTCCATAAGGTCAATGACATTCCATGTAACTTGTGCCCATGTGCTTTGAACCTGACCCCAAGCCTACTGAAATCAATGGAAAGACTCCTGCTGACGTCCTATAGGCTTTGGATCAGGTCCTTTGGCTCAGACTTAAAACCATTGCACTGTTCAGTGTTGCAAAGTCTAAGACCCAGATGCTCAAAGGTATCTAGGCAGCTAGCTCCCATTGATTCCAATGAGAACTAGGTGCCTAAATATATTTGAGGAGCTGGGCCTAAGTGATTTGGGGCTTATCTACATGGGGACATCCAGGAAAGTTAATCTGAATTAACTAAAGGTGTGAATTTAAACCACATCAAACCTCAAGAGCTTCATTCAGAATTAAAGTGGCCTTAATTTAGTTTAATTTAATTTGCTTCCAAAGTGAATTAAACTAAACCAAATTAAGACACATTTAATTCTGATTAATAGCACCCACACAAGGATTTAATGTGGTTTAACTAATCCACTTCAAATTGACACCTTTAATTAATTAGAAACTTTTCTCCATGTCCCCATGTAGACAAGTCCTTAAATTTTCAAAAATGGCTTGGCATTTAGGAGCCCAAGTCATATTGAAAGTCAATGGGACATACGCTCCTAAGTGTTCCTAAGTGAAAATGAGTCTTAGCCATCTAAGTCACTTAGGCCAGATTTTGAAAGGTATTTAGGCACCTGACTCACAGGAGATAGACACCTAAATACCTTTAAAAATCTGGGATTTAGGCCTTGCAACACTGTGTGGAGCAATGCCTATATACCTTTAAAAATCATCGTCTCTGTGCACAAGTGCCTGACTGATTTTTCACCAGATTCATAATTCCCTTCCTACCTTATGCTCTTCTCTTCCAACAAGACTGATGGCTGCTAGACATCACCGTACCTTCAGTATCAGAGGGGATACACAATTCTATCTAAACAGAAAACAAGGCTTTCCAGTTTCTGAGGGCTTGTTCATTTATTTGAGGTTGAAAGATAGGACACAAGGCCTTCAAAATATTATCTTCAAATGGATTAAAATGTGCATTCCTGAACAGTATTCCAATCGGTATTCTTTGTCACAAGGAGATCACAGACTGTTCCATGAGAAGCAATTCCATCTCGCCAGCTGAACAGGGCCGTGGTTCTCTAGAACTGACTGGCAAAGCTGTTGTGTGGTCGTCTGCACACATTTTTACAAGCCATTACCAGGTAAATGGATATGGCATGCCTCTACAGCTGTAGCGTTTGGCAGAATGGTTCTCGTCTCTGTACTGGGAATGCTTCATGGATCCCATCTAATTAGAGACTTAATTTTTCTTTACCCGTGTATGGTTGTTCTTCGGTGGACAAGTGCATTGTTGCTATTCAGTTTTATTACCAGTGTTATTCAGAAGAAGGAAATTAACAAGTGAAATATACCTGGGTACTCAAGGAGGCCTAGTACACAACACAGTGGAGTAAAAATGTTCGGGTTTATTTGTTTTTAATGAAATAACCTGCCATTGTACTGTCCTTCAACATATGGGCATCATGCATTTATATATCACGCTGTTTCCTGATTTTTTGTTGTTGTTTGTTTTTAATTTGACTTTTATGGAATTTAATTTATTTTTCAGGATGGATGTCTTGGTTTGGAAACAGCATTGTGATTTTTGTACTCTATAAGCAGAGAGCTGTCCTGCAGCCCACAGATTATCTTACATTTAATCTGGCTGTATCAGACGCAAGTGTGTCTGTGTTTGGTTATTCCCGAGGGATCATTGAAATCTTCAATGTCTTTAAAGATGATGGATTCCTCATCACATCGATATGGACATGCCAGGTAGGAATGCATTTATGTGGTAAATTATTTAATTAGACAAAATAAGTAGTGCTATTTCTGCACGCGTGCTGTATATAAATAACCAGTCAGGGTTATGAGAGTGAAAATTAGTGACGAATGACTCTCCAATGGATCATAGTTCTGGTTTGTTTCAGATAAGCATCCAAAAATGTGGGTCTTCCTCTAGATTAACCAGTCTTGACCAGTTCCCAGTGATCTTCTACCCCAAAAATCCCTTTACCCAATAAGCTCCTGAAACCACACTTAATGTGGTACTGCTCCTTAAAGGTCCATTGTTAATTGGTATGGCTTGTATTGCAGTAGTAATGCCTAGAGCCCTCAGCCAGGATCTGTGCCCTATTTTATTAGGCACTGTTCACACAAGCAATGAAAAGGTGGTCCCTGCTCCATAGAGCTGGCAATCTAAGCATAGCCTCCTCCAGCATCTTCAGGGCATAATCAAATGGGCTTGCATATTCCTACCCAGTGCCTTTTGTTGTTGGGAATATTTGTGAAGCCCCATGTTTACATTTTTAGTCTATTATCTTTTAACATCTTACAGTGCCAAGTTTATTGAGCAGGTTTGGTAGGAGCTGCTCCAGTTGCAACTTGATTTCCCAGATGTCTTTGTTCCCTTCCAGTCTGATGTTTTGCACGTGAGTTTGGTATAGAAAGAATCTTGTTAACTATGGCTGATGGTCTCTTTCTATTGGTAGCCATTGGTGTCCTGGTTGATTTTGTTAGAAATATCAGCAGCCTTCGATACCATTGACCATGACGTTTTATTGACTCGCCTCTGAGACTTTACTGGACTGGCTGGAATAGCTCTTTTACCGTGTTTATTGTTCTCTCAGAGGTGCCAAATAATGGTAACGAGTACCTGTCTTCTTCCCATAGGGTCCTCAAATACAAGTTTCCATTTGCTCAGGAAAATAGTGAAGCATTTTGTGTGATGGCGGCATTTTTGCTGATAGAAGGGACCTCCAGAGCTAAAAGCATGAGTCTCTACCGCTTGAGATAAAGAGCCAGGTTTTGCAGCTGAGGCCAGACTCTGATCCTCTGCAACAGAGGAGACACATAACGTACTGCAATATGTGAAGGACACTCAGATCTTCATGTGCTTTTCACTGACCCGAGATACTGAAGCCTCTTTGTTTTCACAATGTCTGACAGAAGTACAAATGTAACTAGGAGCCTCTTGTTTTATGCTCAGTCCACATAAGATGGCTGCAGTGGTGAAGGTATACTGTCTGGGAGTCATTGCTGCTCTTGCATGTCCAGGTGACAGTCGTGGCATTTAGTATCTTTTTTTTTCATTTAGGTCTGGCCCAGGGGGTTTTGGCTCTTCCTCTGTCATGCCACAGTATTCCACACCCTTGTAACCTCTAACTACCAGAAGCTGGGAGTGGAAGATGGGGTTGATTATTCCATAATTGCCCTGTGCTGTACACTCCCCTGGAAGTTCTGGTATGGACCACTTCAGGAAACAGGATACCGGACAGGATACAGGAAGCCAGGGACAGTTTACAGGGATCATGGTCTGACCCACTATGGCCTTTCTTATGTTCTTAAAGCTGTATTACTGCAATATGCTTGACTTTGGGCTACCCTTGAAAAACAACTGGAAGCTTCAGCTTTGCACCACTTGAGTGGAGGAAGTTGCATTCTTCTAGGAAAGTCACTAGGTTGTCTCCTCCACTATTTGGGAGACCAAGGATTCTAACGTTGTCTGCTCAGATTTAATTTTTAATAGTTCAGTTTTATTTAGCATCATTTCACTGCTATCAATAATGTTATAAAGTTCAGCCTACAGACTCTGCTTTTCTCCAGCTCTTGGAGGTCCTGGCCAAGTTACTCATTAAGGGCTGATCTACCCTAAAGGTGTAAGTTGACTTAAGTTATGCTACTTCAGTGTCTCTCCTGCCGACTTACCTTATGCTTCTCGGGTAGCTGGAGTACAGATGTTGATGGGAGAGCGCTCTGCCATCTACTTAGCGGGTCTTCACCAGACTCACTAAATCAACACCGCTACATCAATCGCAGCAGGGCCAATTTAGCCGTAAGTATAGAAAAGCCCTAAGACTTTAAAGTTGGACACAATGCAACACAGGGCACCACTTGGTCAAATGGAGTCTAGAGCAAAAATTACTCATCTTGTGCCCTCATTTTGTTGTTTGATATTTACTAAGGCTCTTACCCAGTAAAGCACTAAACCAGATGCTTAACTTAAGCACATGAGTAGTTCTGTCAAAGTCAGTTTGTATCTAGGGGTAAAGCCTATTTGATTAACACATTTTAAATCCAGAAGGGACTGTTATGACCTAGTCTAACCTCCTGCATAACACAGGCTATAGAATTTCAACAAGTATTTCCTGCACCATAACTTCTGGTTGAGCTACAGTGTATCTTTTAGAAAGACATCCAGTCTTGATTTAAAGATTTCTGGTGATAAGTCTGCCACATCCCTAGGTAAGTTGTTCCAGTGGTTAATTACCCTCTCTGGAAACAATTTGTGCCTTATTTCTAGCCTGAATTTGTCTAACTTTAGCTTCCATTAGATCTTGTTATGCCTTGTTATGGCCTTGTCTGCTAGAATAAAGAGTACAATCAGAAACGTTCTTCCTGTGTAGGTACTGAGAAGACTGTGATCAAGTCACCTCCGAAACTTCTCTTGGATAAACAACATTGATTGAGGAAAAATTATGAACAATATTATGGTATATGTTAATTCTGTATTTTGTTATGTGGTACTGAGGGAGTGATGAAGAAAAGTGCTGTGTGGCCGAACAGACAAACCATTAATGGCTAGATTCTGCCACACTTGCACATGGTGAGCAGTACTTTTTCTAACATAGTCCATTTTACAGATAAGTAAGCCAAGGCACAGACAGAGATGAAATGCTTGCCCAGGATCACACAGGGAGTCTGGGGCAAAGAGCTAAGACTCCTGACCTTCAGATTCGTGATCCTAAGCCTTACTCACATCAGCATCCTTCCTCCCATTTAATTTTAAAGGGGGAAAGGTATAAATTCACATAATGTCTGGGGTGGGGGGAGAGTTTATGTGTAGGCTTTCTTGCTTACATCAGAATCTTTCAGTGATGAGTGTTAGTGTAAATGCTTTACAGATTTTTCTCCTAACCCTTAATCTAATACATTCTGCTTTATAAGATTCTGCTTAATATTACTGGGCCACATCGTACCCCTATGTGCAAACAACTCTGTAGGCCCGCTTTCTTGTGGGTTTTTTTCTGCATTCTCCCATTAGAAGGGCTTGGCTTCACCGCCTCATCCCATGGAAGAAACCAGGAGTCTAGATCTGCATGGATCCTGGGTATCCTCCAGGGCCACAGTGCCATCCTCTGATGTCCCTGCACCTCTACATTGATCTTCAACCCCCTGCATCTCTGCCCTAGCACTCTGCAAACAGAGTATCATTGGAGTCATGCTGTTATGATTCCAATTGAAATGTGATTTACCAACCAGCAGCTGCCTCTATGACCCAGTCCCACCTCCCCCTGGTTCACCAGTGCAGATAAGGGCTTCTCAGGAAAAATTGAGCTAATACCGTCTTTGGCTGTTAACATTCTTCCTGCAGTGATTGTGTTTGTCTCAGCAGGATCACAGCCACCGCACCCTTTCCCCCCATCTAACTTGCAGATCCCTGGACTCCTGGACAGTAAAGCAGTCTAATAATTTTATCCATTGAAAAATGGCAATTCGTCAAAACCGAAAGTGTTCGTGTAAACCGAAAGTGTTGGGTTTGACAAATTTCCTGACTCAAAAAAATGCTGAGGACAAGTTTTTGAAAGTGTCAAAATGGCTCACGTCAACATTTTCAGAATGAAAAATTCCAGTTTTGTTTAGAAATTTAAGCTAAGAAGACTGAAACAAAAAGGTCCTGATTCGAGACAGGAAACATTTTTCAACTCTTGAAAATACTTGTGGGACAGGAAAATACTTGTGGGACAGCTCTAGTGGACTGTTTTGTGTAGGATTTGGGGGAAGTAGGGGAAAGCTGACACGGCAGATGCTGACTCCCCCACCTGTCTTTCCTCTGGGAAGAGGGAGATATGCATATGTAGGACTCCCTCCGTGAGAAGGTGTTTAGGGTACAATCTAGCTTATTGGTATTTTCATTTACATTTGTGAGAAGGATTATACTTAATATAAGTGTGCACTGTGAGACAAAAACAAAAGCCCCTTTTCTATGTCTCTTGCTTTGTCTTGTCAGTTTTGCTGCAGAGGAGAGAAGGGAGTCGTGACAACAGTCGAGAGAAGCCCATTTTTACAGCTGGCGCCTGTTCCTACCTTTCACACTAAGTTACGGCCTGTCAAGGAGGCATGCTTTGCTCCCTTCTCCACAGGAGAGTTAACTTACCATAAAACTACTGTTCTGATCTCAGCAAAATATTCTTGTTCTCCTTCAAAATATGTGCCCATACATGTCAGTAGAAAGAGATTTTATCTAAAGGAAGCTAGTTGTTTTAGCAAAATTCCTCTATTTGCTTTCCCTGCATATTCACAGCTGTCATTCTTGGGTGTGTTTTAAGAGAAATTATAGGAGAACTCTTTCATTTACTTTATTTAATGCATGGCTAAGAAGTCACCAATAAAACAAAAAGTTACACTGAAGCTGAAAAATTCAGATCCAGAATTTAAAGCATTTCAGATGTGTTTGTTCAGAGGAAGGCTGGTGGTGGTGGTAGGAAATTAAAAGTGGACTCAGGAGATCTAGGTTCAATTCCCAGCTTTGTCACAGACTTCCTGAGCTTGGGCTTGGGCAAATCGCTGAGGCTGAAATCCTGGCCCCACTGAAGTCAGTGGCACTCACAGCCCAGTGGGAGGGAGGCACTAAGTTGGATTTAAGCCACCTTTACGTCCTGCTGGTCTGGACTGCTTGAGGGGGCTGGGAAAGACCCTGGCATTGCTTGAACAGCCCTCGTCACCTGTCTATGCTATGGCAGCCTCCCTGGGCTGCACTATGGGCCACAGAGCAG